CCTCTCGGCTCCCACGCCGCCCCCACCCCCGCCCCTTGACTCCTGGTACCCTCCCGTTTCCTTGGCAACGGCCGGTGACCTCACCCGGGTTGTAAGCCGAGCCCAGAGTGAAATCACTGCTGTTGCCATGGGGATGCAAGGGTCGCCAAGGAGGTTCGCGTCCCATCAGGGATGAGGGACCATTAGTATTTGAAGAGGCCTTTTGAGGAAAACTAGGAAAACCGAGTCTCACGCGGGAGGGGGAGACGGGGAGGGCTGCAGCGAGGACCCCAGGAGGCCACAGCAGCCGGAAGAGGGACGCCGAGGGGGAGGGGCAAGCGGCTGGCTCGGGCCCTGCCGCATCCTGCCAGTTTGCCCCAGCCCGGGCCTAGGCCCCTCCACCCTGAGCCCCTCCACCCTGAGCCCCTCCACCCTGAGGCCTTCCCTTGGCTACCTGTGCCTGGGTAGTCCCAGCTCTGCACCAACGGCTTGGCACCTTGGACAGATCCCCTAAGCCTTCCTTCCTTCATTGCTTAACTGGCCCAATACTGATGCCCAGCCCGACTTGTCAGGGAAGCAAGGACGGGCCGAAGTGTATATGGAATCCTACTCCCTGCTCTTGCCTGCAATACCCCTCCTCCTTCCCCCTCCTTTGCCAGCTTCACTAAGGCCCTTGGCATACTACCTTAGGTAGCTACTGACGCAGGGCCCTGGCTGCTTGCAGGGACCCTCTTGAAGGCTTTGCTTGGGGAGAGGGTGGTGGCAGAGCCCAGAATAAAGAGCCTCTGCCTCTATCCCTTCCTAGAGGGTTAGGGTACAGGAACTAGAGCATTATCCTCACCCTTTAGTTTCCTCTTCCTTGACAGAGCCTCCAAACTTTTGGGGTAGACAAGAGGTCAAGCACCCCTCTACAACTCACTCTAGGTGGAGAGATGCTCTGAGTTCTAAAACCTGGCCCTGTGCAGTACCTTCCATGTCCTAGCCACCTGGCCCTTCCCTCCCGATCTAAAGATGGTGGGAACCCCCCAGCCCAGGTACCCAGGTGCTATAAATCTCAAGGCAACATTTAGATCTTTAGGGACCAGAGAATGCCATCTTCCCCATGCCAAAGCCAAGGCACCCAAAGCAGCAACAACACTGGGCCAACCCCTCAGTGGAGCCAGAGGGGCCAGGAGGCCAGGTGGCGTGGGTGACATGGTGCAGTGGCAGCCGGCAGCCATGGGAACTCTTCCAAAAGTGCCTTGGCTCCTTTCCTGCCCCAGAACACTGCGGATTCCACTGGACTCCACCCTGTGCTGCCTCAGCCCTCTGCCAGGCTGCTCCTGAAAGGGTTTCCCTTTACTCTGATTGCCCCTGTCCCGCTTCTGAACAACTCCTGTCCTCTCTCCGCGTGGGCAATATAGTCCTGGCAAGGCAGATAAAAAAATAATTCTGACCGAGTAGCCAAGCACTCTCCTGGACATTTCTTGTGTGTTACTTCCTTTGTACATATGAGGATGCCCTCACTCCTACCCCTACTCATTGTACCACCTCAATTAGCCACCCCACCCCCACACCAAATCCTTACCCGGAGAGACAATGTGTCTTTGCACTGCAGGCTGATGCCACACTCATCAGTGATCTCTGAGAGGTCTTCATCCTCAAACTCCTCCAGGCTGATGTCATGGGTAAGCCTGGTGGGAACAGGAAGCCAGAGCTACAACTGGGGCCTAGGAGATCAACTGTCATCTCCCAAGGGGTCAATCCCCCCAAAGGGTAAGGGTGGGTCCACCTGCACCAATGAAGGGGAGGCAGCAGGCAGAGGAAGGACCTGGGCTGAGGTGGGAGCTGGTTTCTCCAGCTCCTCCCAACTGGGAGTCATCCATGCTCTTGCCAACCAGAAGGCAGAGCTAAAAGGCTCAACTGCTAAGAGCCTTGGCTCTGCTAGAGAAATGGCTCTCAGGGCCAAGGCAGGTGCCAAAGACTGTTTACTGCAGAGAGTCAGAGGGGAGATGAGACTCTAAGAACTGCCTGGAAGCCAGGCATCATATCTGTAATTCTAGTTATTCAGGACGCTGAGATCTGAAAATCATGGTTTGAAGCCAGCCTGTGCAGGAAAGTCTGTGAGGCTGAGACTCCTATCGCCAATTAACCAGAAAGAAAACAAAAAAACTGGAGCTATGGCTCAAGTGATAAAGCATTAGCCTTGTGCAAAAATCTCAGGGTCAGTGCCCAAGCCCTGAGTTCAAGCCCTAGAACCGACACCAAAACAAAACAAAAACGCCTAGAGTAGGGGGTTCCTGTACAGTCCACAGTACCAAGACCCAAAGGGCTTCAGGACAGGCACAAAAGCCTCTGGGGGTGACCCGTGTCCCCACCCAGGAAAAAAACAAGCTTTTGTGTTCTGGGAACAAGCAAGGGGAATGAATCTAGGGTAGGTCCATTGCAGAAGGAACTATGCTTTATTCCCAGTTTGTCCCCCTGCCTAGTCTTGTCTGGTGGAAGGACCCTGAGCGGTGGGGGCTGGAGGCCCAGGCGGAGGCTGGAAGCCCCAGGAGACAAAGCAGACAGAGCATCTGGACATCAGAACAT